AATGATTACTAAAGCTGAGGTTGAGGTAACTGGGGAAATTGCTGTTGATACTGATACTAGGAGACTTGGTGCAGCACGTGTTGTTGATAGAGCTGAAGTTGCTGGAACTGATGCATTTGGGCCTGCATGGCCCGCATGCACTGCATCAAGTCCTCCAGTTGGTTCGGGCTGGCCGATGGGGGCACGACCGAAGGTTCGGTGAACGTCGCTCCGACTGTAGGAAGGAGTGGCACGACGACAGATGCAAGAGACACATTCAAGCTGGGGATTCCGTCCACCGAGAGGGGGACGATGAACTGTCCGATGCAGACAATAGGAACCTGGGGTTGTTCCCTAGAGTTATCCATTTCTGTGCTTCGTCCGACGTTGCTNAACAGAGTACCGGGCCTCGAGGGTCGAGATGACGTGGGCCTGCCGAGCTGAGGTCCTCCCGACCTAACTGCCCGTGGCGAGGTCGGGGCGGCTGGTCTTTCTTGTCTACCGTGGGTGGAGGCCTGGCTCCTTGGAGGGTTTTGGGGGGACTCTCCTCGGCGAGGCGGGTGCTCCTCTTGTCGGCGAAACCCAGCTCGCTGCGAAACCGGGTGCCGAGGGGGAAGCTGTGATTGCTAAATCTGAGGCTGAGGCAACAGAGGAAACTGCTGCCGATACTGGTACTGGGAGACCTGGTGCAGCACATGCTGTTGATAAAGCTGAAGTTGCTAGAACTGTTGCATTTGGGCCTGCATGGCCCGCATGCACTGCGTCAAGTCCTCTAGTTGGTTCGTGCTAGCCATTGGGGGCACGACCGAAGGTTCAGCGAACGTCGTTCTGACTATAGCGGGGAGTGGCGCTACGACGGGTGCCACTGCGAGAGGCACACTCAAGCTGGGAATTCTATCCACCGAGAGGGGGACGGTAAACTGTCCAATGCAGACAGTAGGAAGCTGGGGTAGTTCCTTAGAGTCATCCATTTCCGTGCTTCGTCCGATGTTGCTGGAGGAAGCCATGAGTGTTGGGTTTCTAGAGAGTAAAGAGACGTAAAAGTTTGGAGAAAGGCTTTTTGAAGCATTTTTCCCACAGACGGCGCCAAATGATGTAGCGCAATTCGGTCACTCCTAGCTGGCACTCGCGTGGCTCCTGGGAGACACTTGAGATGGGGAAGAATAAGAAGAATCCCTTGGGGGTTTGCCCAGCGGGGACACTCCCGATGCTTAAGTCAGTACTTAGTAGAAGCAAGAAAAAGGTGAAAGGCTAAGAGTGTTGATAGCGCGTTACCACTATATTCAAAAGATCAGAAGTNGAAAAAGGTGAAAGGCTAAGAGTGTTGATAGCGCGTTACCACTATATTCAAAAGATCAGAAGTTCCTCCCCTGCCGTGAGGGCTTTTATAGGGGTGTTCATGTCAGGTCGGGCACAACCGCCACTGGGTTCCTGCCACAGCCATTACTTGTCAAGACCGCACAGGCAGCCGTTGTGACGTACCTTTCGCCTGGGTGAGTGACACGTCCCTGAATTGGCAGGCACGCCTCCGCCTGCCAAGAGACGTGGATGCAGACTGTCGAAAGGGCAAGGACTGCATCGTCAGTAAGGAAAGTGGCACAGTCTGATCGATACGGCCTGTCAAATAGAAGCTTCCTGAGAAGCGCTCATGCGGCTAGTTCCTGAGCTACTTTGTAGTGGGCTCGGGATGCTTCAGGATCACCCTTAGTAAAATTGGTCTCCGGGATGACTTATCTGTTCGGGGGCTCGGGCGAGCTAGTTTCCCTATCTTGCGAGCTGAAATTGCCTCGGAATATCCTTTTCATGGTAGCTCGGGGAACCCGAAGCTCACGTTGTGGCGAGCCTCTTTTCTTGTGAGCTACGCTGTAGCGAGCTGCTCTAAGGGCTCGTTACTTTTTTGTGTGGAGCCACGATGTGGAGCTATTACCTGTGCTGGGTCAGGTCCACGTGTCACCGTTTCGTAGGTCGGGTCAAACCATCCTCCATCAATAATTTTGTCATTTGTTTCTATTTTCTCTATAAGAAAATACTATATATCGAAAATTTTACTCTCAATTATCTCCATGATTATTGTAAAAACACATGCTATGCATGTGCACAAGTATAAACCACCATATATGATATATGGTATTTGATTTAACTTTAGGCTATGTTTGGTTTGAAGGAAAAAATAGGGAAAGGAAGGGAAATGTAGGGAAACCTGTATAAGGTTTGTAAAGGTTTCCCTACCTTTCCATTCCTTTCCCTACTTTTTCCTTCAAACCAAACACAGCCTTAATGATTTGTATAGAGCCCAAGGCAAGTAGCCTAGTATATGTTTTATATAACATAGATGTGTTTCTTTTATTTTTATTTTATTTTTGGGGCATAGACTAAATCAATTAAATTGATTCATTTCTTCTAAAATGTTTGGTAGCCACAAATCTTGCATCAATTATATAGATGATTCATTAGAAGATCTCATTAGTGATAGAAACTTTGACGATGGAGAATTTTTTATAATATAAAGAATATAATTAGTCATCTGAATAATTTAAGAAATTGGATTATCAAACTTGAAATATAAAGGTTTATGGTTGCTAGTTGATTGGTTATTGTTATATTTGTGCCTTGAATTCTTTGTGGCGACTAACTTCATGAATCTGCTCTGAAATAATTTGAGATAAACCCGAAGGCAAAATATCATAGTGGTTTGTGGAGGAAGCATAGAGCATATAGGTTCGAACTGAATACCAAGAGTTATATTTTGGGGGTTTTCTCTCTTGTATACTTTGTCTTCGTCTTGAGAGAGAAGAGTTAGACATTTAGTGTATTTGAGGTTTAGGGTTTACTATGAGTGAGGTTGTGAATGCACAACTCTGTATTTTTTTTCCATTACTAACTATATAGTGGATTTCAGCTCCTTCACCCGTGGACATAGGCTATAAACCGAACCAAGTAAATCTATGTATTCTCTATACTTCTCTTTATCTTTGTTTTACTTTCATTTTAGATGCCATTAAAATCTACTTTTCTTGGGTTTTTCATAACAGATATTATTTTGTTGAATATTCAAAACCAACAATTTGTTACTTATAAACTTATATATTATGTATGCTTCTAAATCTAGCATTTTCTCTTATTTTATCATATATTGATTTTATTATTTATAAACTTTAATTAATCTTTTCTTTACCTCTTACCTTTTTGAACCATTGCACCTCAATTATGCCTTTAAGCTTTTAAAACCTTGGTTTTATGTCTTTTTCTTTCAATGAATTCACAGAGTTAATGAGCTATTTCCATGAATCAAGCTTAAACTTGTGTTTTTTACTCTTTACATGTGAATTACTAGTTCATTCCTGAATTCTTGCTTCTATTTATATCCCCTTGGTTCTGTATGTTTTTTGTTTGAATATTTATGTTTTATGTATCAAAAAAATAGAAATTTGGTTTTAAGGCAAAAGCATATATAAAAAGGTTTGTCGTTGTTTGTTCTAATTATTAATACTGACTCTATTCTGCCATGAATAGTTGTGTGCTCTGTGAAGATTCCATGGAAGATGTAGAATATTTATTTTTCATTTGCCCGAGGGTTAGGCCTATTTGGTTTGCCTCTGGTGTATCATTTCGAGCATATCATAATTCTAGAGGAAAATTCCTGATCAATACCTTGTATTTTGGCTCAAGTGAAAATTTGGTCTTCAAACTTTAAAATACGATAATCTAGTACTTGAACTTTCAAAATGTGACAATCAAATACCCAAACTTTTAAAATGTGACAATCCAGTACTTACCATTAACCGGTTCGTTAATATGCCGTTAAGTGTCATTTGAAAAGTAAAAAATGCCCTTCAAATGCCATTTATATTTCTTTATCAACCATCCAAATGTTGATAAAAAACTGAACAGTCCCAAATCCTAACCTCTTCTATTTAAAAAAGTTAGTGACTGTTTAGAAGAATCTAAAATTTGAGATTATTCATTTTATTGTCAATGTTTGGATGATTGATAAAGAGAATTAAAAGGCATTCTTAGAGCATTTTTAACTTTTCAAATATCATTTAACGTTAAGTATTGGATTGTAATATTTTAAAAGTCTAGATATTGGATTGCCACATTTTAAAAATTCGGGTATTAAATTTTTGAGCGCCAAATCGTCACTGAAGCAAAAATATTCCCTAATTCTAATGAGTGCCTTCGTGACTGGTTATCTGAGTGGGTTAACGTTTGTAAAACTGCTATAGAACATGAGTTTTTTTTTTTTTTGTCACGAGCAATTTGAACCACTGACTGCTTATACTCGGGAGATTCTCATATAGTCATCATTAAAAAGTCTGTCGGAGGTGAACTCACCTTTGCTGCTCCGTTAGTTGGACTCCTCTTTGGGTAAGAAGGCCACTCATAAGTTGCTAAATTGAGTTACTCACATATGCCCTCCACAAAACGCGCTCTAAAAACGCCACATCTCAGCGTGTATTGAGAACATCTCCTTTACGCGCACGCTGAGATGAGAATGAATTTCAGCCAATAGGGTATACAGCATTGTGGTATTCTCTCTTCAAAAAAAAATAATAATATCTAACTAATTCTAATTTTTTGTACAAATTATTAATGTTTATAATATTAACTTCTTCTGATGTTATATTCTTGTTACTTAATATTTTTAGTGAAAATATTGCTTCTTATTATTGCTCATTAACATCCAAAGCCTTGGGATAAAAATCCACATTAATTGGTCTTTCTATCTTTTTAGTTTAGAACAGAATTTCTTTATGTCAGATGACTTTTTTCTGTTGCTTCTGATGCGTGATGTCTGCAGTCTGCTTTTGTCTTCAGTCCTCTTCTCGTTGATGGTTTATTTATTTATTCATGTTTTTCATGTATATTACTGAACTCTTCTTTCTTCTTAAGAATCATTTTAATTTAGTTCTCTCAATCTTGTTACATATTATTTTTCATACATTTTTTTATCTTGTTTCCGCTTTTTAAACATAATAAACTGCAGTTACAGTTGGAGAATGCACAGCAAGTCTTTCATGTCCAAAAAAGAATTCCAATTTCATTCCTATGATATAATTAATCGTTTACAAATGTGACAACTTACAAGGAGTAAACTGAATTCCGTATGTTCGACTATATAAATAAAGAAAATATGAAATGTAAATAATTACAGGTCACAAACCTCACTCGGACGTTCTAGTAGATTACTACTCGTCTGAGTTATGAAAACCCACCCAAGTTTATGTCTGACTTGTTCCATTCCGAGTCAACAAGCGACTTCTTCAGCACCTGTCTGTGCTATACTATACTGGCTATCATCTTTACTGTTTGGTCCGGGCTCTGTCTGGCCCATTCGAGCCGGCGATCCCAAGCTCGTGATGCCAGAAATCCTCCAAAAATGTCTTCGCGGCATCCAAGCTTGGAAAATATGTGTGTTCCAAGAAGATCTGAGACAGAGTATCAGAAGAATCCGCATAGATCAGAGCTCGATTCGCCTTCACCTCCAAGCTCCCCATGACCACTCCTATCAATTGTCTATACGAAAAGAAGAAAGTTTTCAAAGACGACTCGATAGCCTGAAACGCTTGAACTAGGTGGATTTTTTCAAAATCCCCCTTTCGATGGCCATGAAAGAGCTTCATCGCCGCTTCCTGAACCCTTGGACCTCCTTTCGGATCCACTTCCACGCCCAAGACCGCCGGAACCCTCTGCTTCAGATCTTTAGAAGATTTAGTTATTTCAATCAGTGCCTTGGACCGGAAGCAAAAGGCTTCGGATTCCGTCGAAGCTTTAATCGCAAGCTGGTTCTTCAGGCGGAGAAAATCGTCCGGATCCATAAGAAGGTGCAGGTCTTCTATCTCTGTGAGAAGCTTCCAAATTCGCTCGAGTAACCAGCAGTCGCTCGCTGCTGTCCCGAATTCCTGGCCATCGATTCTTTCTTCAATTCGTCGGAGAAGCTCCCGAGATACCTGTATCCACGATTCCAATATCTGGTGAGTGGTGAAGAGCGTCTGGTTCTCGTGGTTGTCGAGATTCCTTCGATCGGATGGGCTTTTCTTCAAGGAATGGAGGTCAGACGGTTTACAGATGAGGTCGTATTCGAGGTTGGGTTTTCCAGCTAGGTTTGGCTCGCCCAAACCTAACGTGAACGGACACCTCCGCATCTCGCACTCGATGGAAAACAAGATCTTGGAAGCAATATCCTCCGACTTCTGCCATGTCGCAAGGCGAGGAAGCAAACTTGCTTCGCTGGTGCGGCTCACAACGGGCGTTCCACCTGGATGGTTCCATACGGCGGAGCTCCTGTTACGAGCCAAAACACCGTTAGAAGAATTGAGATCGGCGATAGGCGCAGTTCCACGAGTCTCGGCAGCCTCTACGTCATCTTCGCAGAGAATAGCAATGATGTCGATTTGGTGAGTAGCCAGGGACTCGAGTCGGCGTCTCCACTCGCGCTGATTCACGTACGGTCTAGGATCGGATAAAACAACTGAGATAAAGCGGAACGTGATTTCCAGAGCTTGCAACGCTGGTTTGAGAATGGACTCGTTCTTCCAGCCAGGGAACTCATTAAACGTCCAGAGTTTGCTGAGCTCTGGAAGGCGGACGAATTGTTCATAAGCTAAACAGGCAGATGAGGGAGCGGGGGATAAATCGCTGACGGCGAAGCGAAGAGGAGACGGTAGCGAACCACGAGATTTATTGGAGAATTTGGGCGAGGTGCAGGACATGTCGGATGAAACCATTTTTGCCTTCCAATCCAAATCGACCATTTTTCCTTTTCTCTGATTTTTGGATGAATTTGACAAAAAAAAAAGATGAATTTGAGAAAGAGTGAAGGCAGAAAAGAAGAATAGATGACTGACTTGCGTTGATTGCTTTGAGAAGCACATGTGGAGGGAGAGGAAGAGGATGCTATTTATAAGACACAGAGAGAGAAGACTTGATCTTGTTGGCCTCCATTACAACTTTAGTACAACGCTCCAGCCTCCAGCTGTGGGCCGTGGCGGTGTATTTAAAAAAATAATAATAATATATTAATTTATATAAAAAAGAAATAACAAAGATATCCAGAAAATAAATAAATAAATAATGGGAGGAAAAAATGATCTTTATCCATAAAAGGAACTAGCGCACAAGTGATGTTGCTTTGGGGTAATGGATTCATAGTCAAGGATTTGAACTTTTTTGTAATTGACGCAACTACCCTCCTAGTACAGAGAGACGTTGTGTTGGACCGTGGTCGTTGGCTCGTTGCACTTGCAGAAGTCATTCCACGACTTTTTACAAAAAAGAAAAAAAAAAAGCGGTCTCCGGTCCTCCACCGCGTTCGGTCTAAAAATTCCGGGTCGACCGCTCAAACAAAAAAGAATGTCCCCAACTTGTAACCTAGAATTACAGCTTTGCCACGGCATCGGATGAGCAAGGCAAAAGTGTTGAGAAAGGTAGAAAATCCACGTCACGGGGAAAACGACTGCAGACACAAAGGTGCACTGGAGATTGGAAGCATGGAATAAAAATAAATATAAAAGGTTGTTTCAAATGGAATACCAAAAATTTAGTGATAACTGATAAGAACGAAATCTTCTGGAAGAAGGAAAATGTATACGACCGTAATACATTCTCAAGAACTAGACCATGTCTGATGTCCCTCTGCTGTGACTTTGAGAATTAAAAATTATACTTATCAGGTTTAATTCTTACACTCATCAAGAGGTGCAAGCTGATCTGAATTGGGGAATGAAAAAGCCAGCCAGCTGTATGTCTTTGTTTAATTATCAACTAAAACCCGGATTAGAGAGATAAAAATCAAAAGAAAATAATATGTTAGAGTCGGGCTGGCTCGATCCATGGTGTCTGTACAGTGCACCTGGGTTAAGGCCATTTGTGCTGAAACATGTCTCTTTTTTGGGGGGAAATTTGGAGAAGAGGGATGTACTAGGTTTAGTACAGCTTGACAACTGGTTTCACAGTTCAAAATGGGGTCGCCATACATTGGCTCAAGCAACGCTTTAAAAGGCTATTGAGGCGAGGCTGACAAAAAGGCTTGGCGGCCTTGGTTTGGTAGCCTTTCTCTCCATTGCCAACGCTTTGGCCGTGAATTGTTGGTAGCCTACTACACCTTTAAGCCCTCTACCCTAGTCCCTAGTAAAGGCTTGAAGCTTAAATAAAGAGACTGAAGTTGTTAAATTTGCCTAAATAATTAAATGATAAAATTTTCGACTTTAATTTCACCTGCAACCTCCTTCAAAACTTATTCATTCAAAGACAAAGAAATAAGCTTTAAGTTCAGCATCTTACGTTGTTACCAAACAACCCCTAAGGTTTCATTTGGAAGGAGTACAAATACAAATATATAGAATGTAAAATCTTGTATTTTGTATGTAATTGTACTCTATATATTTGTATTCTCATTCCTTCCAAATTGAGCCTAAGGCTTAGTTTGAAAGGAGTACAAATACAAATGTGTACAGTATAAGTATATATTAAATAATATAAAATATATAAGGTTTTACATTATAAATTTGTATTTATACTCCTTTCAAACTGAGACTAAGTTACTTCATCCAAATAACCTTTTTATACACTATATAGCTAAAATTAAAATTCTAAAACAAATCAATGGAACTATAAATCCTTTCTTGGTCAATAAGGGAGCTACAAAGAATATAAACCAACCTCCAACCACAATGACCAAAAAACAACCCAAGAAAAAAAAAGGTTTAAAAATATATCTAAATTTGGCACTTTGGATATATGATTTATTTTATATTAAAAAAATCGCCTGGTCCTTGAATTAGGTCAAATTCAACTTCAGTCAAGAAATATAAATCTAAAAAAATATATTTTTCCTTCATTTGTTTTTCTAATAAATACAAATACATAGATTTTATATTCTTTTTTTTTTTTTGTTCAAGGCTTAAAACTTAAGCCACACCCCTTTCACATCTAAATGCATCGCCTCCACCTTTAGCTTTTAAAACATTGGCTCAAGGGGCTCTCTACCTCTCTCAAATGAGTAAGCGCGCACCTTCAAGTAAAAAATGGGTATTTTTTTCTTTCCCTACCTTTTTCTTCAAACCAAACATAGCCTAAGAAAAAAATGGGTATTCATTTCTTCTTATCTCTTATTTCTTAAAGAGGAATCTTACAACTTTTTGTTTTCTAATGATACCCCAAAATACAAATAAAAGTTATCATGTATGGGGTTAAAATGGACATTTGACAATTTTTAAAATTCAAAATTCAGAACAATATAGAAAGAGAAGTTCATCAATACCAATATACCTCTTCATGTAATTATTGCACTTTTAAATGTTAGACATTAGACGAATATGCTCTTAGATAATTTCCCATAAATCTATTTTATAAGTTTATAACCTGATGCCAAAAAAAAAATGCCACCTAGGAATGGACCCACCCCCGTTGAATCACATGCCATTACACTGTATTTGGTTGCCAAGAAGATTAGCATGAAAAACAAATAGTGTAATGTCTTGAGTTATACAAATTACAAATTAATTTTGACTTTAGCACAAGCAATCTTTTAGATGGAACATAATGTTAGTACTTAGTAGTACTAGTAGATTTTGTTCGGGTGATAGTTGAGCTAGCCAAGGATGCCACGTGGCAATCTCTGCGTTCGTCTCCCTTATCAAGTCACATCGATGCCATGCGTAACGGAAGAGCACGACTAAAGAGTGTCCTGTATGGACAAGGAAGAGAACTCTGCTAGGGAAGAGGAAACCTCCCGAAGACCTTGATGGACACTCTCATCTCAACAATCTCGGAAGCCCTATCCATCTAGGACACAAACGCTCAACTATAAATAGGTATTATCTACTCAAAGTAAGGGACTTTTGGAATGTCACTCTTTGAATACCCCTTTGCACTATCTCTTCGACCCAAACCAATGTTATTTCAACTTGTTCGACCCGACCACATCCCTCTCGATCTTACTAACTTGAGCACCAAAATACTTATTCGGGGAACAACTCCTCAAACCCTTGACCTTAATTATTCCTAATTACAGATCTCGATGCACGGTTTTATCCTTCTACCTCAACCTCGTTTAGTTGGCAGTAGTATTTGAATGTATCCTCGATTTGAAATACCTCAATTTGAACAGCAGCATAAGTTCATAAATTCTACCCCTAAAATATAAATAATATACTGGATTGGATTAGATCGATGCATTCACCTCTTCTATTTTAATTTGGACTATTTTTGCAAGCCATGATCCATACATAGAGGGTCCCAAGAGTCCATTTTAGAAACACGGTACGGTCATGGTGATTACCAACGAGAGAAACAAACAAACATGATGGGGTTGTCGGTACTTTTCCGTTGATATTATCTTCTAGCCTTCTTTTCCCTGTTGGATACCGAAAAGCTTCGACATTTTTGGTTATCAAGTTCTGCAGCAGAATCGGTAATTTGGTAATGAAGCAGGGACATTTTCATCCATCACTTAAATATTCTGGTTCGGGGTATTCTGACTGGGATTTGGTTTGGACAGGCCTATGAACCCTCAACTCATCGCTCACCTTTTTTCCCGGTTCCCACGTCTTTTCTCGTTCATACTTCACACTTCATAGATACTTAGATAAGATGGCTTTCGCCCGTTGGACTCGATCGCCGCGTTTACCGCTTTAACTGGTCCATGACCACCGCCTCAATCTGCGCCACGTGTGATTCCGAACCTAATCCTGAAAAGGCCGCACTTCGGATTGGTGCCATCCAACTCGGTAACAAATCCGCCTCTGTAGACTGTAGCCTGTCCTTTCTCCTTTTACCCCAACTCATCGCGGCATGTGACTTGCTCCCTCAGCTAGTCCCTCCATGCTGGCACGTGGCATGGTCGAAACGTGTCCCCACCTCCCACCAACTGTCCATACTCCATATCTACTACTCCTGCCCGGTTAAAGTTGAACTTTGGGCAAATCAGGCTTGTTGGGCGGTGCTAAATGTCCACTAGTATGTTGCCACGTATCCGTGACAGTTGGACGGTGGCGATTAGCTGGCTTATACTCTTTTCAGAAACACGCGTTTCTTTATTCAACTGAGGATAAGGTGGGAGTGGACGCCCCCGCCCCCGCCCCCCCCATCCCCACCTCACCCAACTTACAAAGCTCGGTCGCGTGGCTGAGCCGCTTTGGTTCGAAGGAAAATGAGAGTATTTTATGTTATCCGCGTGGACTTGCTTCGCTGGTCTGACTTTTTTAAGGTAAGTCAATTCTGAGTTGCACCGGTTCCCTGGTGGGAGGCCTAACAATAACATGCGCATTTGGGTATATAGATGAGTTGATAATGACTTCACATTCCGCCCTCTCCTCTCAGCAGGTTACGATATTAATATATATTGACTTGGTAAGCACACGACAGGGACAACCTCATTAGTCATTTCCCAATTCCCAGTACTATTTATTTAGGCTGCTTTGGATCAAGGTGGCTTGGATTCCATCTTCCATTCGCAGAATTTGAAAAGCTGCATATTTTAACCCTCCAATTCCACGGTTTTGATGGGTTTCCATAGTGATCCTAAGTAAAAATGCTGGCTATTAAGTAGGATAGTGCCCATCTTAATTATTAGTATTTATTATTCCCGAACCAAAGATTTTAGTGTGGACCTACCTGTGTGAACTTGTTTGGGTCCTTAGTTGTTGCCCGGCCAAAAAATATTAGCCTCATCATATTTTAATTTGCGCTTGGATATAATTGGGTCCTTAGTTTGATGGGATGAGATGGAACCTGGACGGCTGGACCCAATTAACCATATCTGGTCCAAATTAATCCAACAGGTTGATGGTCGTAATCCAAACAGTCTCTTAATTAATTTCTAGCGTTACTGTTACATATACAGGAAATGGATATAAGGGATTAGTGTCGGCTTTCATGGAAGTAGCTAGAG